TTTACAAAACACGTTCTACATCATACCAGAATGCTTATCAGGTGAAGAATCAAAAGAATCACAGAATTAAAACAGTATAGAAAAATGTAGTATAGGTAGCGAATCTGCAACAAAGAAACTCAATCTGATACACTCACCAATCAAGCACAGCACTCCTGTCATCATAGTATTGGCTGGTATACCTCCTCCACCACCCATCAACTCTGTTATTAGTTTGCATATCCTTCGCTTTCACGCAGCAAATTAAACTTGGTTTGCTTATAGCTGAATTAAATAAGCTATTGCAAGGCATCACAAAGTTTTCGTAAAAGATTTCGCCAAGAAAATCGGCTTATCCGTAAGAAAAATGTCGAGGTGTTTTGAAAATACCAAAACCAACGAATTCATCCACGTAAAGGATTTCAAAACCTAGCCTACAAGACAACCAGGTTTGCTAATCGCGACGTTTAGTGCTGACTATGTAATATCAAAACAACTTACCAAACAAGCTCGACTATAACCATAAGGCTTCATAAAATCTTCAAGAAGTAAATGGAGCAAAAAAATCTGAAAAAATGCATATGAAAATAAACTCACTATAGCCTCGTTTTCAGCCACACAAGTTGTTGCTTATTTGTTGGCACAGATGCCTCTAACACACCCAGTTCAATCTTCAGAATATCAGCAGGAACAATCTGAAACACTGAATGTTTGGTATTTCGAGGAGAGATGCTGTTTGATGTTACCTTATCTGCCACCAGACCAACGAATTCAGTAAATTTTGCTACAGCTTTATCTTTGATTTCGCTATTTTGTGCATCACCTTCGACGTATACGAGAAATCGAGGAGAAGAGATAGTAACAGCGGGAAAGTTGTCTGAAAGGGCAAATATGAAGCTTAAAAGATTTTTGTTTCCAAATCATACGAGTCCAATGATTACCGAAAACGGGATAAGCTTGCGTTATGCTTTCCAAACAACTATCGATCTTAAATCAAATCTTACCTTCAACTCTTTAAGCTTAGCAATAGCATTTTGCGGTGAGATTTCAAGAGTGATCACCTTCTCACAAATATCAAGAACGAGTAATTGTGCATCTCCACCGCTTTTTGATAGCGACATTCAGTGCTAAGCCGCACACTGAAAATAACTCAAATATATTACTAAACGATAGGATTTTCCAGACTGTGCGTCGAAAACAACGCACAAACATGACAAAACATATAATATTTTACAAGAGGGAGACCTTTTCATCAATACTCATAAAAAAGGAGACTCTTCCTTATAAAATCAGAAAATAAGCCACATCCACACAACTTTACACATCATTCGCATGCACAGACAAGAAAGATTGATCCTCGATACTCCGCTCACCTATAATGTTCCGAGCTGATAGGCCCTGATACTTGTACCAAAGCAATTACCAAGCTAGGAAGGAGGAAGGCTCCAAGTGCCACCTGTCGA